AAGCCCCTGCCATCCATGTGGGAGAACCAAATGGAGCTCCTAGCACCTGAATTTGGCTTGACCCAGCACTAGACATTTCGGGCATTTGAGGAGTGAACCAGCAGACAGAAGGTCTCTCTCTTTCTGTTTCTCCCTCTCTGTAACTCTGAATTTCAAAATAAATAAATCTTTAAAAAAAATAAAGTAACTAATGAGGATTTGCATTGTAGCACAATGTGATAAACCACTTCTTGGAATACCCACATCCCTGGTCAAGTCCCATTTCTATCTCTGCTTCTGATCCAGCTGCCTGCCAATGGGCCTCTGAGGCAGCAAATGATGGCTCAGGTACTGAGTCCCTGCCACCTGTGTGGGAGACCCAGATGGAGTTCTCATATCTGGCTGTGGCTTGGCTCAGCTAGCATTGGCTGTTGCAAACATTTCAGTAGTGAGACCGCAAATGGAAAATACCTCTCTCTTCTCCCCCCTTCTCTCTCTCTCTCTCTCTCTCTCTCTCTTTCTCCTCCCTTCCTCACCTGCCTTTCAAATAAATAATAGTACTAATAGATTTTTAAATATTTCCATTTACTTAAGGGTAGGGATTTTTTAATTGTGTAGAGATTTTATATAAATGCACTCATATATTTTGTTTCTTTAGCTTAATATATCTTGCACATTTTTCCATATTATAACTTGTATGTTTACCTCATTTTTAAAAACTATTGCTTAGGGGGCCTGTGTTGTGGCACATCTGGTTGAGCCATAGCTTAGAATACTGCCATCGCATATCAGAGCGCAGGTTCTAGTTTGGGCTGATCCCCTTTCAATCTAGCATTCTTGCTCATGCGCCTGGAAAGGCAGCAGATGGCCCAAGTACTTGGGTTCCTGCCACCCCGTGGGAGACCCAGTTGGAGTTCCTGACTCCTGCTTTTGCCCTGGCCAGGACATACCTGTTGTGACCATCTGGGGAGTGAACCAGGAGAGGGAAGCTCACTCTCTGTCTCTCCTTATCTGTCACTTTGCTTTTCAAATAAATAAATCTTTAATTAAAAGAACAAACAGCTGCATAAAATCCCACATATAAATGGGCCATAATTTGTTTTGCATCTCACTAGTGGATATTTAGTTTTTCTACTTAGTTTCTCACTGATACAAATATTGCTGCAACCAAAACTGTCTTTGCACATATGTATAAATTTCTAGATTTGAAATTTCTGGATCAAAGGATTTGACATTTTACATTTATACAAATATTGTCAAATTCCCCTCCACCAAAGTTTCTTGATGATATTCTTACAGAGATGAGACAGTTGGAAAGTTCTATTCCCAGAACACACTAGGTATTTTAATCTTTTATGGTACCCTGTGTAACATGTGGTATCTTGCTTGACTTTGCTTTTTTCAATTCCAAATATGATTAATCATATTTTTTGCATATTTGTTAGCCATTTTTTCTTCAGGCTTCTTATTAAGTATTTTTTTGCTTTCTTCAGCAATACAGATGCAGGTAGGAGCAAATATTCTTCTGCATACATGGAAAATTACTTCAAGTTTGTATTAGTATGGGGTAAAATGTCGCATAGCATTTATTATGTTTGTATTTTTGTGTTTTATTGCACGGGGGCTACATTTTAATATTTTTCTGTAGATAGAAAATATTAAATAGCTGGTTTTTTAAAAAGATTTATTTATTTATTTGAAAGTCAGAGTTACACAGAGAGAGGAGAGGCAGAGAGAGAGAGAGAGGTCTTCCGTCCAGTGGTTCACTCCCCAGGTGGCTGCAACGGCTGGAGCTGCACCGATCCGAAGCCAGGAACCAGGAGCTTCTTCTGGGTCCCCCACGTGGGTGCAGGGGCCCAACGACTTGGGCCATCTTCCTCTGCTTTCCCAGGCCACAGCAGAGAGCTGGACTGGAAGAGGAGAAGCTGGGACTAGAACCAGCACCCATTTGGGATGCTGGCGCTTCAGGCCAGGGCGTTAACCCACTGCACCACAGCGCCGGCCCCAAATAGCTGTTTTTTTTTTTCTTATAAATTGTTTTTACAAATGTGTCACTGAACTTTAGGAAAGGCATGGATAAAATTATAAGCAGAATTTTGTCATATATCTTTGGCACATAAGTGAAGGCATTCATCTATTTTAGTGACTCATCAAGTTATAAACTTAAAGAATGTAATAAGATATTTAAGAAACAATTCACTAGAAATGCTGTTTAAGATCATGAAAATATCATTATGTGGCAGTGCAGTGGTGTGAGTAGTTTTCTTAAGATCACACAGTAGTCTTGCTTATCTGCAGGAGATTCATTCTGATAACCGCAGTGGGTGTCTGAATCCACAGAGTACAGAACCCTAAAGTGTACTGTTTTCTCCATCTTAAGCACTTATTTTTCACTGTGAGAATAACTTTTGCTATTTGGGGTATGACTGCCGAACTAGCTTGAATTTCTTTTTGCTTCTTCACAATTCCACATATAAAAAGTTTGTTCCTACTACACCTTGGCAATCTTAGCACACAATTTGCTTTCTTCCCTTAAACCCAAGAAGTTTCACCTTTTCACTTGAAGTACTTTATGGCTGCTCTTTAGGGTATCTAAATTGCTAGCATCACTACTCTTGCAATTAAAGACCATTGTTAAGTAGAATTAAGACTGCTGGACACAAGATCTGGAGTAGTTGATCAGATAACCAAGATGGCTGCTGAGTCTTCAAGGTCAGGTAGTGTATACAGCCTGCAGTACACGGGACAGAGGGACGGTTCACAGCCTGCTGCATTGGGGGATGGAGCGGGGCAGCATGAGACTTCATCAAGCTGCTCAGAACAGCATTCTATTTAAAACTTAGGATTTATATATTTCTAGAATTTTCAGTTTAATATTTTTAGACTGCAGTTGAGACTAGGTGACTGAAAACTTGAAGGCTGAAACTTGAATAACCTATAACTACTACCCTTTACCTAACCTGGCCCCCTTGCTAATCCTTGAGCCTTAAACATTTTTATGCGGTCATTATTAAGACCACATGGTGGCCGGCGCCACGGCTCACTAAGCTAATCCTCCGTCTTGCGGCGCCGGCACACCGGATTCTAGTCCCGGTCGGGGCGCTGGATTCTGTCCCAGTTGCCCCTCTTCCAGGCCAGCTCTCTGCTGTGGCCAGGGAGTGCAGTGGAGGATGGCCCAAGTGCTTGGGCCCTGCACCCCATGGGAGACCAGGATAAGTACCTCGCTCCTGCCATCGGATCAGCGCAGTGTGCCGGCCACAAAGGCCATTGGAGGGTGAACCAATGGCAAAGGAAGACCTTTCTCTCTGTCTCTCTCTCTCACACTGTCCACTCTGCCTGTCAAAAAAAATAAAAAAATAAATAAAAAAAAAGAAATAGGTCCAACAAATTGGAAGTTTTCTACCATCATCCTATAGTAATCCCCATTCTTGTTGCCATAAACAAAGAACAATGGAAGCATACTTTCTCTTACTTTGTATTTTTTTTAACTTTTATTTAATGAATATGTTTCCAAAGTACAGCTTATGGATTACAATGGCTCCCCCCCATAACGTCCCTCCCACCCCCAACCCTCCCCTTCCCCTCTCCCTCCCCCCTTCCATTCACATCAAGATTCATTTTCAATTCTCTTTATATACAGAAGATCAGTTTAGCATATATTAAGTAAAGATTTCAACAGTTTGCACCCACATAGAAACACAAAGTGAAAAATACTGTTTGAGTACTAGTTATAGCGTTAAATCACAATGTACAGCACATTAAGTACAGAGATCCTACATGAGGAATAAGTGCATAGTGACTCCTGTTGTTGACTTAACAAATTGACACTCTTGTTTATGGCATCAGTAATCACCCTAGACTCTTGTCATGAGTCGCCAAGGCTATGGAAGCCTTTTGAGTTCACCAACTCTGATCATATTTAGACAAGGCCATGGTCAAAGTGGAAGTTCTCACCTCCCTTCAGAGAAAGGTACCTCCTTCTTTAATGACCTGTTCTTTTCACTGGGATCTCACTCGCGGAGATCTTTCATGTAGGGTTTTTTTGTTTTGTTTTGTTTTGTTTTGTTTTGTTTTTTTGCCAGAGTGTTTTGGCTTTCCATGCCTGTAATACTCTCATGGGCTTTTCAGCCAGATCCGCGTGCCTTAAGGGCTGATTCTGAGGCCAGAGTGCTGGTTAGGACATCTGCCATTCTATGGGTCTGCTGTGTATCTCGCTTCCCATGTTGGATCGTTCTCTCCCTTTTTTATTCTATCAGCTAGTATTTGCAGACACTAGTCTTGTTTATGTGATCCCTTTGGTTCTTAGTCCTATCATTATGATCAATTGTGAACAGAAATTGATCACCGGGACTAGTGAGATGGCATTGGTACATGCCACCTTGATGGCATTGAATTGGAATCCCCTGGTATGTTTCTAACTCTTCCATTTGAGATTACTTTGTATATTAAAATCACAGTCACTTGTATTTAAGTAGTGTTCTATTCATTCATAAATTGATTTCATATCCCTTAATTCATTTTATCCTTGAAATAACAAAGAAAGCTAAAATGTTGCTTTAATTTTCACCTAAAAGAAATGCAATTTCAGGGAAATAGTCTGTTGGGGGTTAGAAATCAATTAACAAAGAGCCAGAGTCAGACTCCAGGGCCTCTGAGTTTCAAATGTACAGTGATGATCTGTCACCAGCCAAATTAAGCATAGAAAATTTGATATATTAGTTGCTTGCATTTGAACAAGGCTGAAAATGAAATAGAAAGCAAAATATAGTCTTCTTTTTTTTCCAGTTGCCTGATATTTTACAATTATGTGTTGCAAAACAAGTCTTCAGAATATCAACCTATATATTTGTAAATGTATGTCTCTTCTTTCTGCAAATCTAATGAGTAATTTAGTGTTCATAATTAGTCCTGATATCTTTTGAAAGAGACCACTATTTTAAACATATTTTAAGAGAGAATATAGGTTGAACTCTGACCCTTGCCACTAATTGTCTACCTATATGTCTTTTGTCTTGGAACAGCTCAATGGTTATTCGGGACTTAACCTTACGCAGTGCTGCTAGCTTTGGCTCCTTCCACCTGATCCGTCTACTCTACGATGAGTATATGTTCTACCTGGTGGAGCACCGTGTTGCTCAGGCAACGGGAGAGACACCCATAGCAGTCATGGGTGAGGTAAGAGAGGCTAGATACACCATGGCCTACTGGAACTTTTTAAAAAGAAGCTGAGTCAAGCTTCAGTCTGAAGCTGTTACTAATTAAAATAGCAAATGAGACTCAGAGTCAGGTGGGGCTGTGGAGGTATTACAAGGTGTCCTTAAATCCCTCAGTACATAATACTTAAACGATTTTAAAATTGAAGATTGTTTCCTGTGAAACTTCATGGAATGTTTCTATATTTTATAGAGGAGTCTATGTAAAAGAAAATCTGGAGAATCACTAGGTGACAAAATTCCTGTTGAGTAGGAAATAAGCAAAAGTATTGCTTCTGATAAGGCTGAGGGATAGGAATGAAAAGGAAAATGTTAAATATGTATTTTGTAGATTGTTTCTCACAGTCCCCTAAAATAAAATGATTGCTTCTATTGTAGAAGGCTAATGATGATGACAGTAACATGTTTTGGATGTTTGTATGTGCCAGGCACAGGTCTAAGTCCTTAATATGTGATAAGGCATTTAATAATTGCAGCTTTTCGAGATATTCTCTGCTTTACCCTGTTATATAGATGGTAGAGACATGAGATTGTTGCATAGCTAATAAATGATGAAGACTTTTTTCAAACTCAGTGTGACTTTCAAACCCATGCTTGAACCCATTTAACCACGTGATAAAAAAATTCTCCAGAATTCCTGGATAGTAGTCAAAATGTCATGTCTTCAAGCAGTGTCAAAAAGCTGAAATTCTGGTTAATACAGTGAGGAGTAGATGCAAATGTGTAAATGATTTAACACTGCATCATTTTGCTGTGTTGGGCTCACTTTATACCCTGCTGGATTATAACAGGTTAGACAATATCACACATGACCCAAAATAGTAAGAAGGGCATGTTCATTATTAAGCTATATATATGGACTTAAACTTTAAAAACAGTAAAAGTAAATATTATTAGATGCTTTCTGTAGTTTAATAAGTGGAAACATCAAAGTTTAAATAAAATATGTTAAAAAATATATCAAGAGCCTCCATAAGTTTTCAGTTATAAGTAAAATGTATGTTGAACTTACCCAGAATGTCAGTTGAAATATTTCTTTTTCTTCAAAACTCCTTTGCTGTATACTGATCTATATGTCTCTGCATGATGTTCTGCCTTGGTGATGGTCCTTAAATGTTGCCAAATGTGTGACATTAAGGAAAAATCATTGTAGCTTTTTAATTATAGATAGTACCTCTTGTGACCAAAACAATTTGGATATTCTAGATTTGATTTCCTCTTGCTGCCTGGTTGTTTAGTTGTCCTACTATCTTACTATTTTATTTGTTGTTGCAAAATATCCAGTTGGCCTGTAATTAAGAGACTGTAAAATTCTCAACCCAGGGTTAAAAACTTCTGAAGTGGACATGCCGTTTAGTATTTTTAACACAGTTGCCATCAATTTCAGATTATGCTTCAGAGTTTATGTGCTAGAATGAACAGGATAATTTTAACAGGGATTCTCATTAACACCATACAGCTGATCCAGATGCTTGGCCTTTGCTTCCCTTGCATCTCTAGGGAACAAAGGCAGCGGACAAGAGCCAGTCACACAGTGCAAAGGCTTAGTTTCACCTTGTGTGCTTGTGTAGGCAGTACTGGTTCAGAATTAAAATTGGCTGTGTAATCAATACTGCCAACTTAGTATCCTAATAGGTGTTCTTTTTTAGTACTACATGTAAAAATGTAAATGAATATGACAGAATACCAGGAGATAAAGAAATATGAATAACAATCTAAATGAAAATATGAGTTTTAAGATGCCAACTGTAAGATCAAAGCTCTAACACAATTCTTAACCCAATTTATAGGAAAATCCTTTGAGTTGTTGTGCTCACTCACTGTTAACCCAGAATGCCAATTAAGTCTAATTGTATGAATTTGATCTCCCCATGAAGTGTTCATGCCTCATACACCTTTTGGCTGTCATAGACCTACTGGCAATGATTATGTTATCATATCTAAAATTCCTTGATTCTTGGGAAAATAAGGAAATCCAAGAAAGACAAAGAAAATTTTCCCATGTCCCCCTTATATGTTATACTAAGGTTGCCCTCTCTTGGCCCCTTAAACAGTTTCCATTTCCAAACACCGAATCCAGAAGTGCCTGGAAGCAACATATCACATCAAAAATCCATTGAAATCCATAAAAATCACCATCACCCTCAATTGTAACAAGTCGTTTTCAATCATCAGTTATAACAAACACTAAAGAAGTTGTAATTGTGGGCCGGCGCCGCGGCTCACTAAGCTAATCCTCTGCCTTGCGGTGCCGGCACACCGGGTTCTAGTTCCGGTCAGGGCACCGGATTCTGTCCCGGTTGCCCCTCTTCCAGGCCAGCTCTCTGCTGTGGCCAGGGAGTGCAGTGGAGGATGGCCCAAGTACTTGGGCCCTGCACCCCATGGGAGACCAGGAGAAGTATCTGGCTCCTGCCATCGGATCAGCGCAGTGCGCCGGCCGTGGCGGCCATTGGAGGGTGAACCAACAGCAAAAAGGAAGACCTTTCTCTCTGTCTCTCTCTCTCACTGTCCACTCTGCCTGTCAAAAAAAAAAAAAAGTAGTAATTGTGACTAATTATGGAGAGTTTATTAAGTACTTAATGAAATTAAACTTTGGATCCATCCCATAATGGATCTCTCTCAGCAGATGACTCCATGTTCCTCCCTGCTGATCATTCTACACACCTGAACATCATGTTGTCACCATAGTAGGTCCTTCTACTTCGACTCCCTGTCTCCAACAAATTACTGACCTTTTCCCAGAATTTCTTACAGTGCAGTTTATATTGTCTTATGAAAGTTCAACACTGACTGTGTTATTCCCCACTTAAACCTATCAGTGTTTTTTTTCCTTCCATTAGCTAAGGGACAATATTCTTCCCTTGGTGCACAAGGTCTTGGATGTTCTGGCCCTGCCTCTTCAATCAGCTTCATTCTCCAACTTCCTACTTCTTATGTTGCATTCAGAGTGACCTTTTTGCTGTTCTTATTCACCAGGTCTTTGTCATCTTTGGACCACTGGATGTGTAAATGGTCCTTTGTATCTGAAACTCTCTGCCCACCTTTCCTTGCCCATTCTAACTTCTACTTTATATCTTAAATGTCAGCTCCTCAGGGAGACCCAGTTCCTCCAAACAACTTTAAGATAGTCCTGTTCTTTCCAATTTGTGTTTTCACATTTCATTTTAGAACCTACCCAACACTAATTTCATGATTCTTTGTATGATTTGTATAATTGAAGATTTAATACCTAGAAATAATACGGAATTTTATGTTAGAAAAACTGAGTTCTACTTCTGGTTCTGCCATTTATAGTGGCATCATCTTGGGCAAATCATGTGTACTTGGGAGAATCTCATCTCTGAAATTAATTTATTATATATTTAACAAGTGCTTCTTGGGTATCTACTCCAGGCCAAACACTTATAATGCTTGGAATATAATTTTAAATGAACAAAATGGACTTGACCCTGCCTTCAAAGAACTTTCATTTTAGTGGGGGTTGCATACTCATTAATTAATACATAGCAACAAGTTCTGTTGGTGCCATAAAGGAAAAGGTCAGGAAGATAGAGGAATGCTTAAGGCATGAAGCACTTAATCTCACTTGGAAAAATCAGAGGAGGCCTCACCAATTAAATGAGGTTTGAGGTGAGAACTAAAGCATGAGTTCAGACAAAGATAACCTGGAGGTAAGGGGTGCAGACCAGCCAAGGCACAAGGAAACAGGCACAGGTCTTCTCTGAGATGGAGGGTGCACTACCAAGGGGAAGTTTTTCTGAGATATATTGGCTTCAAGCACTGGGGTGACCAAATAAGCACTGTCAAAGTAAACAAAGTAAACGGTTAGGAGGAAGAGTTAGATTAGAATAATACATCCAATATTTCACGTAGAACTGACACCCCACAGAGTCAGTGTGCCAGGCATTGTTCTGAGTAGATATAGATATAGATAGATATAGATAAATATTAAACTTACATATATACATATATTTATATATATTCAGAGTTTATATTTACATATTGTCATATGCATATATATTTATATATATTGAAAGTTTATATATACATATATTTAATAACTGACAACAACCCTATGAATGGATACTATTAAACCTGTTTTACCTATGTTGAAATGGGATACAGGGCCATCAATAACTTCTCTAAGTTCATAAAACTTAGAAGCTCTGAAATCAAGCTTTGGAGCCAAGCAACTGGCACTGAAATCTAAACTGTTGCTCTGCCATCTTATTACCTGTGACAGGCCCGTGTAAGATTGCTTCAGTAGTCAATGAACACAAACCTGCAAATAAGCATTTGTTTTGCCTTTATAGGTTTCCTTTGAGAGTGCTGTCAGACAGCTAAACAGGTCTAGAAGAAGGAAAAGGACTTTCTTTTTTTTTTTTTTTTTTCAGGCAGAGTTAGAGAGAGAGAGAGAGACAGAGAGAAAGGTCTTCCTTTTCCGTTGGTTCACTCCCGAAATGGCCACTACGGCTGGCGCTGCGCTGATCAGAAGCCAGGAGCCAAGCACTTGGGCCATCCTCCACTGCCTTCCTGGGCCACAGCAGAGAACTGGACTGGAAGAGGAGCAACCGGGACAGAATCTGGTGCCCCAACAGGGACTAGAACCCGGTGTGCCGGTGGCGCTGGCTAGGACTTTCCTTTTAAAGTAATATAAGTACCATTCATATGTCTTTTCATTAATATCATGCAATAAATAAACCTTAAAATTAATATTACTTATATTATTTGAGCAGGCTGAAGTGACTAGTACATGTTTTACATATAAATGAAATATATAGGCATGCAAAATATCCTTTTTGCATCCACTGTAACTCTTATCATTTCAGTTGTTGAAATGAAGACTACTGCATACAAGTACTAGAGCCCCCAACCTGGAAACAGCACCGTGCATGCCCCACTAAGTTTGCTTCTAAATTTCAGTGGTGTGTTACACTAATACCAACTAGTAAGCTCCCTAAA